CATTCCGTTCTATCCCAGCCTCCCTTTCCCATCCCTCTTTTTTCTTTTTTGAGCAGGTTGGGAGACACTCTATCTCCTGTCGCTTTGGCTGTGCTGTCGTTTCCGTAGCCAGGGGGGAAAAGCGCCGCCGCCACAAAATCTTGCAAAAGTATTTGTAATTGTGCCTGAAATTTAGACATTACTGACGCTAGAAAGTAATTAAATTACAATTACAATTCCTTTTAGTCAAAAGTAATTATTACAATTACAAATTACCAGGAAAAGTAATTAAATTACAGTAATTCAATTACTGTAATTGAATTACTACCCAAGTATGATCAATACTCCTATCCCTCCTCCCTTTCGTTCTCCGCTACTCCTGTTGCATCCCAACCAAAAATAATCCGCTATGTATGGTGGCTCCTCCATATCCCTAAGGTGGGTCTCCGCCAATCCATACACCTGAAAATTTTCCGCCACCAGCTGCTTCTCAAGCTCTTCCCATTTTAGTCTCTTTCTACCACCCTGCATGTTTATAAAATCAATATTAAGCTGTTTCTTCCTCTTCTTTCTATTCCTGCGAGGCCTCCTCCTGCCCTCCCTGTCCCCACCTCCCAGCTCTAAATCCGGATCCCTCTCTTCTCCCGGACCTCGCAGGCTCCCAAAAAAGCCCTTGCCCTACAGCCCATTCTTCGTCCCACCCGTCTTCCTGTGAGCTCGCCATAATGGATCCCGTCCCTTTGGAAAGTGGGAACCGGACTCCTTTGGCGGACTTCCCTGTTGATGTCCATGACCTCGTATCTGTGTTGGAATCTTAGTGCCTCAATCACATTATTGGCTTCCCTTACCTCCCTTTCTGTCTCTACGGTCTGCACCCCTAACCTCTGGGATGGTGCACAGCACGATGTGCACATTCTCTTTCACCTTTCTGAGTTGTCGGACTCCCTCCCTAATGTGCGCGCCCAGATCCCCTCCTTTCCTGTTCAGCACATCGTTTAGCCCCGCGTGCACCATGACTAGACTCTCTGTCGCCTTATTTTCTTGCAGTATAGCCACTGCGCTTCGCATTACCTCCTTCATTCCCTTTCCCAGGCAGGTCACCACTTTCACCCTCTCGTCGTCCTCCACCTTGCTCCCTATCCCCTCCCTGCACCTGGCCACATTGGAGCTGCCCACCACGATCACCTGCCCCCCTGCTCCAGCCGCCTTTCCTTTCTCTGCCGGTCGAGCGTTCCTTGGTACCCCATCTCCTCCTGTACTCGGTCGCTGCAGAGCCGAACTGTATGAGAATCCCTCTACCCTGGCTGCCTGCCCACTCTTGTCTGCCGCTGTCCCCCTCTCTTCTCTCTGCAGTTCGTCTTCGACAGCCCCCTTCCGCACCCACCGAGCCTCCATCTCCCTCAGTTCCCGCTCCACCTCCTCTATTTCCATACTCAGTTTGGCCTGCAGCTCCTTTATGTCCTCCTCCTCACTCGGCTTCCCCACCCGAGTCATCATCTCTCGCAAGTCGATGTACCAGTGTTGCCAACCCCAACTTGTAAACAGGCAAGATGCAGCTTAAACAAAAACTTTTCTTTCTTTTTTTTTTTTTTTACACGGGGTGCGGAAAATCGTACAAATATTGTTGTTAACACGATATCCGTAAGAAAGCGCTGGAAAGCGGAAACTTTAAGATAAAATCGTAAACTTGGCAGGTATGCACGTGCCTAAGGCAAGGCATCCGAAAAAAAGACTCCCTGCCGTTCTCACCGTCGGTGATTGATCTCTTCACAATTCCTCAAAGGTTCACTGCCACAATCCGCGTCGCGGATTGGAGCTCGGCACCTCCGAGGGCAGCGGCACGAGGGGCCGTGTTCGAGCAAGAACTCGTGCGAGGAAGGTACTTTCTGAAACCACGCGCCCAGTACGTCGGTGCATTTTGCCACCCTGTAAGTGACTCCCGATATAAAAAGAGCATAGACGTTAGGTCGATTAAGCACCTACAAAATGCTCGTCAGTTTTGCTCCCCATGCAATGGTAGTTGCAGAAGAAGAAAAATTAGAGAAAAACGAGCAGCCTTCGCTTCCTCAACTTAAGCCGCAACAACCGGCCACGTGATCTGGAGACAATGTTATGCTGCCAACGTTTACCTTAATCACGCACGGGGGCTGGCAAAGCGCAAGGCCCGCACCGAGTTCCACACATTGTTAAGGTTCGGCCATTCCCGTTGTTGCAGCGATCGGGCATGAGCCGCTACCCAAACACATGTCGAGGCAGAGACTGTCACGAGTCTAAACGGAATGCTCACACAGTGGTCGCGTCCACTGTACGAGCCACATTTAAACATCATCACCGTGAGAATCGCCCAGCTTGACGACGAAATCCCGGGGATTGCATTGTCAGTCTCGTCAACAATGCGATCCCCACAACTTCGTCATCGAGTTTTGCAGAGGAGAGACTGGAAAATATCCGCTTTGATCCTTGAAATTATGCGGCGACAAAGCCAGTACCAGTAAGCTTGTGTAAAGTGATAAATATTCCTGCCCAGTTTCCCCACTAAATTTTTGCTAAATTGAGCGGGGAAACTGAATTAGAACAAAAATCACGTGACATCAATTTTCCCGCCAAATTTAGCAGGAAAACTGAATTGGTGCATAAGCCACATGACACTTAATTTTTCCACTAAATTTAGCGGGGAAACTGAATTGGTGAATAAGTCACGTAACATCAATTTTTCCACTAAATTTAGCAGGGAAACTGAATTTGTGCACAAATTGCTAAGCTTAGTGGGGAAATTGAAATGGTGCATACGTCCTGTGACATCAACTTTCACGCCAAATTTAGCGGGGAAATTGAATTAGTGAATAGTCACTATTTGTGCTAAATTTAGTAGGCAACCTGAATTATCCTGTAGGTCCCATGTTGTCGGGTCACGAGACATTAATTTTCCTGCCGAATATAGCGGGGAAACTGAATTGGTGCATAGCTCACATGACGCCAATTTTCCCGTCAAACTTAGCGGGGAAAATAAATTGTGCATAGGTATGTGACAAGAATTTTTCTGTTAAATTTAGCAGGGAAACTTTTTGTTTACGCTCACACCGTCGAAAAACCGGGAAACGGGCCACTAACAGCCGACGCCGTAAGAAATACTAGAGTGCCACCCAGAAACATGCTTCATGCCACAGCTAGGAAACGTCCTCAGTGCACAGCAGGAGAGATCGGCAAAACTGGAAAAGTGGTATTTCACAAAAGAGTGGTTGGGATTGTGGATATCAGAACGCAAGCAGGCCAACGCAGCTCCCGGCACTCAGAGAATGTCCCAAGAGGCCGGCACTGTCGTGCATATACAAGTAACCTAACAAAGTGGCCGCCACAAAGCGTGGAGTTTTGTTGCCTTTTCGTACTGTGAAACGGGGGTAATGTATTACAGGAGCAGTGGTCATTGTCTCGTCGGTTTCGGATGCACCGGGGTTGTGAGGTAGCAGCGGTGACAAGTCGGCAGGTTCCGTCTACTAGTTTTGGTTTGTGTGAAGGGAGTCGCGGAGGCACGTCTGGTCACAGACCAAGAAGTGAATAATGCCTGGGAGATACTGCTCGGCAAAATGGTGCAGCAATTCGAATAAGACGCCAGATGTTTCTCTGATGCCGTTCCCAACGATCAGATCTGGTTTCGGTTCGGAAGTTCTTTAGTTTGTTACTGCCAAGTCTGGTGAACGGAAGTTCTTATAATATGATATTATTATTCATTTAAAGTGCCTGCGTTTGCCTGAACAAGGCGCTCATAAAACCTCCTGCAAAGAAGAGGTCCGCAGAAGCTAGGAAAGCTGCAAAACAGTAAAAAGTACACACCTTTTACACAGAACAGAAATTAACATAGAGACGGACAAGACAACTAGAAAGATGTGACGTCTTGTTTGTCCCTATGTTTATTAGTACTGTTGCTCTCACCTTAACTTTACCTTCTACAGTTTTGACAATTGACTGAGCAGGACAAGAGCTTGAGATAAGACTGATTTCAGCTTTTCTCCCTTCCCTTTTTTTTTTTTTTTTTTTTTTGTTGATCAGACGTGGCCGAGAATTATTTTTTTAATGGCAGGAAAAAAAATACCTCCTTTATGGCCAGCAGAAAGTGTCGTCCTTCTATGTAACCTTTAATTAAGTTCAGTGTTTTAATATTTAGGAACAAATGCACTGCCTAATAAACCCTCTTCATGTTTTCTTTAAAAGATTTACGATAAGGCTAGTTTTATTTTCTGTCTTGCTGTGTCGTATGAAGTGTGAAAAATTGTATGCTATATAAATCAGTGTAATTTGTTTTTGTGTTCATTTGCTATACCTTGTGGTATGTAAATAATTTAGTGCAATCATTTTCATGTTACCATGCTCACAAAAAATTGTTTAAAGAAATCACGTGAAAAATTCTGTTTTTGTGTCTTTATACAAGAAAAAATATACTGTAAAACCCTCTATGTTTGCAGCCCCCATTTTTTGCGAATCGGTCACAGATGACATAATCGCGACCGCTAAATTTTGCGAATTCCAGACGCCTGCATTGAAAATCTTAAGGACCGAAATTTTTGCGCGCCCTTAAATTTCGCAAATTCTTCAATTCGTGAAATTCGCGAAAATTGAGCGCTCGCGAACATTAAGGGTTTTACAGTATATATAAAAAGGGATATAAGTGGAAAAAGGGAAGTGGACTGGCGCAAGCCACAGGGGCCGCCTGTTTGCCGCAGAACACTGACAGGTGGCACAATCAAACGCCCGATTCGCAGGAGCCAGCCGTGTTAATTTATCCATCCATCCCCTGCATTATTACGACTCAAACCCGACTACTTGCGCCTCTAGGGACAGGCGTGGTGCATACGTAAGTACCCCTGGAAAACCCTTTCCTTTTCTATCCACCTTCTACCGTGGCGCTCCTTTCTCTTGTTTACACTCCTCCTACCTCTCTCTTGCTCCTCCAGCGCATTTCAATAGCCAAGGCTACGACTGCGTAAGCCTGACACAAGCCTGTAGTGGGTAATAGCGTTACTCACGAGACAGTAGTAGTGGACCATGATCTTCGTGCCTTTGAGCATCTCGTCATTGCCCACAGAGCTCTTTTGCATCTTGCAGAAGTGGCACACTGTGGGGTCAGAGAAGAAAAGTTGGACAGGAGTTTCTGACAAAGGCACGCCCACAGCAAAAGGACAGACGCCATTGATTGCTCTGTCCTTGCAACAGTTCATATCAGGTATCCTTAGTGTGCTATGTTGTCAGGGCAAGCTTAGTTCTCAAGGTACTGCTACATTTTAGTGCCACACCACCGCATTCCTAAGCGAGCATTTGGCTTCCTCTTGTGCCCTATACGCAACCATTTGCAAAGCTATATACTGACAGCAAGCCAATCGAAATGTGTCTCTATGCACGGAAGAGGGAGCAATCATGTATGCGACAAATGCAACGAAGCTTCGCCCCTGCAGCGGTTGCTTTCTATTCGGCAGTGGCGGCGATACGGTGCAGACGACACCTAGGCCACGATTTCCTCAATCAGTGGAGCATGTGCCTGGTACTTGTTCATCGACACAAAACAATTAACAGTCTTCTTGTTGCTGTTTACGGTTTTAATGGTGCAAGAGCATCAAAGGCCATACTGCGCCAAACAAGGTAGGTCAATAAAAAGGGTGAGACAATGGAACTATATGGGAATAGTTCTACAATTTATTTAAAAATCCAATATTTTCAAGAAAATCAAAAAGATGTTTCATGAGATCGGGGGTCGCTCACCAAGTAGCAAGGCAGGGTGAAATGGAATGCGATACTTGAAAAGATCAGGAAAAAAATAATTTGTGCTGCTGCCAAAAACTAGACCAAAGAAATAAAATATGAAGAACAGTCAAAGGTTCACCGCAGCGCTCACAGGATGGAGGTTCTCCACCACTAAGCAGGTAGCTATGTGTAAGGTAGGTGTGGCCAATTCTTAGGCAGCATAGGAGGACATCATTGATGGTGTGAGGCTTATTGTTAACCTCTGAATCCCACTCGGACTGCCATGATCACAAGACTGCTAGTCTTGTAGGCGTTTTTAAGTCATGGTGGGGGATGTGGACACGTGACACCAAAAAATTTTGCAAAGAAACGGTCATTTTATCTGCAGCCTCCTTGTCAGCAGCGCCAACATGACAAGGAATCCAGCAAAACCTAATGTCGTGCCCATCCTGTAGGCCCTGCTGCACCTTAACACACACAGCTAGGGTCAGCCGATTCTTTGTTGATAAAACAGAACACACGGGCCTAACAACACTGGGAATCTTAAAAGATGATGGCTTTCTTTGTTTTGCTCTGAATAATATAGTCAAGGGCCATCATGACCCCATACAGCTCGGCAGTAAAAATACTGGCAAGAGTGTTTACACGAGCAACTTTGGAAAAACAAGAAGAGTATTCAGCTGCACCAACAAGCATTGGCGACTTTGCACCATCAGTGTAAAAATGATTGTAATCTTTGTATTTTTCCTCCAACGCAAAGACTTCCTGCTGTAAAATTAAAGGTAAGGCTCTTTGCTTCCTGAATTTTGTGAAACACCAGTCACAGAAAACGGGTTTGACATTTCATAGGGAAATATGGTATGAACTATCGAAGAGGTTAAAATCATGAGTCAGAGTGAGGGAGGAGCGAAGACTCGCGACACAAAGGCTCAAAGGCCGCACAACAGTTGACCTATGGTTAAAGAGGCAAGAAAACCAAAAGTTTTGAATACAACTATAAGTGGGGGAGCAGAGGTCCAACAAAATTTTGTAAGCATAGGTGAGGCTAAGCAGCTCTCGCCTTTTTTCAAGCGACATTTCATGACAGTCAACATATAAGCTAGGCACAGGGGAGGTTCGAAAAGCACCAGATGCCAAACGCAGCCCAAGGTGATCAGGGTGTCTAGCAAATTATTATTTTGAAATTCCCTGACAATTTCAGGTGCAATTCTCTGACAACTGTAGGGGCAGTTAAATATCTAAGACCGTTACAACACAAGGCATTGAGCACTGTGAGGATCATTTTGCACCGGCTTAATCCAACTTGCATATTTCAAAATATTCGGGTTCGTCGAGTCCGGATTAAACGAGTACTTTCTTGCCGCCGACATCGTCAGTGAAGAGGCCGCTTCCCGAAACATGATGAAAGCACGACGCTCAACCACACACGTCAATAACCGAATGGCAGCATGGTCGCCAGATGCCCACTTTTGGATACTGTCAGCTTAAAGGAGCTGTGCAAGTTTCAGTGATTTGCTTAAATAATTTGGGAGTTGGTGTCTCAAGCTTTCCGAAGTAAAGAACAAAAAACAACTTATGCCTGCATGTCCTAGTTTTTATTTCAAAAATGGACAAAGATTGAGGTTTTCAGCACCTCTCAACTCCTTCACCATCTTCCGAGCCACGTGCGCTGCAATGTCGATGGGGGTCGTGTGGGGTTCCGGTGAAGCTCTCTCTCTAGAGCCATCAGTGAGCAGCAAGATCTCCACCGCTCGCGACCGCGCGATGGCGGGCGCAGCGCAAATATGGTGAAAGGAGGAAAGTCTCATCCGGGTCCGTCCGGCTCCTGTCACCTTCCCTCTCCGGCTTCTGGTGGCTGTTCGCAATAGCAGATAGAGCCGACGGTTTTGTGGACCTAGGATAGATGGCGCCACTAAAACTCTGTATAATAAAAGATTTGTCGATGATGCCAGGTTTTTGACGCATTTATATTCATGTTGGAACGATAAGATTTATAGAAAAGTTACCTTTCATCGAGCAGGTATTCGCACAACTTGCTATCTTTCCACAAGACCGCCATACAGTCATGCCACGTGCTTCTCATGGCCGCTGCTCGCGGCTGCAGGTCGGGCAATACTCTCATTTTTGCCTTGCAATTACGCGACGGAATGGCAACATTTCGAAGGAAGGAGGTGTGTTTCACAAGATGAACAATGTCAAAAGAAGAAAATGCCAATTCTTTCAATGTTAAAATCCCACAGCTCCTTTAAAGGGGCCCTGCAATTATATTTAAGCGTCTACCTACTTTGCGGTTTCCACGTCCCTTGGGGTTCGGGCAAACCAGCGGGCACGGAGAGAGTAATTAAATAGCAGTGCATCATATTTTAACCGGACGACGCGGAAACGTCCTCCACCGACGAGGGCGACCCGTGGTACCGAAAACGCGCAAAATGTGACGTCTTTGGTCCTCGGCTTACTACTGGTCAGACCCGCTAAAAGCTTTTTCTTTAGTCGAGATACAAAATATAAGCGTCGCGAACCGTTTCAGTTATGTATGAAAGTAGTTTTTGTTCGGTATTTTAGATCAGAAAAGAAACAAATGCAGTTCATAAAGTACGGAAACAAGAAAAGACCCGTCGACAAACCCGCCACTAAGCGGCAGAAAAAACGGCGCATACTAGAAAGGGCTAGTGGGATGAGGCTCAGACGAACGGCCAGCGTAGAAAGGTCCCAGATGTATGCGGCGGCGCTGTGGTCGTATACCGGCTCGAGGATCCGACCGGTTCCGAGCGTTCCGAAGGCTTTCGGCGCGAGCTTGGCTGGCGATTTGGCCATTTGGCAGTATGGCAGCACGAAGTGGCTCCCGTTCCGAACCGATCCCTACCCCGTGTTTGCTGTCGTTTGTGGCCAATGAAGTGTCATGCCGAATTAGTCTTTAATTGCGCAGCAAATGCAATGCGAGCCACCCCGGCCGCCCGCTTCATACAGCCTATCCAACACATGCTTTAGTGGCGCCCTCTCGAGCCGTCGACACGGAGTGCGGCAGCCGCGAGCGCTCGATGAGCTCACTACTCCTCCTCTAGTTCACAGCCACTCAAGCCAGGACCTACGACGTCATGAGGGAGGTTATTTTTTGCTTGTTTTTGTAATTGTAATTTGCCTATAACTTTTAAAATAAAGTGAAATTTGAGAAAAGAAAAGTTTCTTTAAGTTACTAGGTTCAGTGCGCTCAGGTTTGGTGCAAATTAAAAACCAGTCAAAAAGTCCTTGCAGGGTCCCTTTAAGGCTTGGATTGGATTGGGGTCCGTGGCTTTTCCATTTGTTACTAAATCTATTAGTTCTAACTGGATCCAGCTTGGTGTAGCGCCCTCAATCTAATCCAGTCCAAGGCTTGGACTGGATTTCTCGGCTGTTCCCTTTGCATCAGGTAGCACACTTTACATAGGGTGAGCGGAGCCCGCGCTCCACTCTAAGCAGAATTTAGTGCCTACTTCTCAGCCCACAAGTACTGAAGTCTTTGCTCAGAGCACTCGATGGAGTTTCCAGCTCATTTTCCTTGACTGGGCTTGCTTTTTGACAATTTCCTGATTTTTCCCGGTAATTAAAATTTCCCTGACAATTCTTGGTTTTCCCGGTCGCTAGAGACCCTGGTGATGTACTGGATCGAGCATTTTTAAGGCAGATGGTCTCGCGAAGGAGTAGACAATTGAAACATAACAGGGCATGATCGATTGAGAGAAGAATATAGACGGAGGAGACATTTCTTATCCGAGCCCCACGACTTGTGTGAAAGGACTTTGAGTATGTTTGATGCCTGCAGAGTTTTTTGCTTGAGCTGTTTGAGATGCGAAAGAAAATTAAGTTTACGCTCGAAAGTAACTCTTAGAAATTTGTGCTTCATTTTCGCAGCAATGCTGTTTCCAGTTAAAAGAAGAGTAGGATCTAAACAGAGACCATGCCTTAAAGGAAAAGGAACACAAACAGTTTTCTCCGGAGAGAAACTAAAATCATTCTCATCAGCCCATGCACTTATTTATGGTCATTTGTAGCTGTCGCTCACAGCTAAACATATTACATGACACTACAGATATCTGAATGTCATCGACATATAGCAAGTAAGATACTGAGGAAGGAGTGACTTTACAAAGAGATTTAATTTTTATTGCAAAGGTTGTGACGCTTAGGACTCCACCCTCAAAAACACCATTCTCTTGAACGAACCAGTCTGAAAGGGTTGTTCCCAACCTCCAAAAGTATGTTTACACGAAAAGCACTTTATGCATTGAAGCATTCTACCGCGTACTCCGTACATGGAAAGGTCGCACAAGATGCCATGCCTCCAAGTGGTATCATAGGCCTTATCCAGATCAAAGAAAACAGATACACAATGCTGCCTGT